TGGGGAGAAAAAGGGACATCTGTAATATTTTAAACAAAAATAAAATTTAAATAAATAAATAAATAAATAAATAAATAAATAAATATTAAAAAAACACACAAAAAAACCAGGAGGACAGTCTAAAGGAGCTGTGGGAAAACATGAAATGTAACAATATTTGCATTATAGGAGTTCCAGAAGAGGTCGAAAGCAAACAAGGGTTACAGAAACTGTTTAAAGAAATAATGGCAGAAAACTTTCCTAACCTGATCAAGGAAAATGTCGCACACTTTCAGGAGGCACAGAGTCCCAAGCAAAAAGAACCCAAAGAGGCCCATGCCCAAGACACATCATAATTAAAATGCCAAAAATTCAAGACAAAGAGAGAATCTTAAAGGAAGCTAGAGAAAAGCAATCTGTTACCTACAAAGGAGCTCCCATAAGGGTGTCAGCTGACTTCTCATCAGAAACTCTACAGGCCAGAAGGGAATGCCATGAAGTATTCAAGGTAATGCAAAACAAGGATCTGAAACCAAGACTACTCTATCCAGCAAGATTAACATTCAAGATAGGTGGTGAAATAAAGAGCTTCCCCCCCCCCCAAAAAAAAGCTAAAGGAGTTTATCACCACCAAACCAGCATTACAAGAAATTTTAAAGGAACTGTTGCAATTAAAAGTAGAAATAGAGAAAGAGAGAAACATAGGCATAAAGAATTAAAGTGGCAATATATAGATATCCATCAATAATAACCTTAAGTGTAAATGGACTAAATGCCCCAATAAAAAGATATAAGTTGGCTGAATGGATAAGAAAACATGACCCAAATATATGCTGTCTACAAGAGACCCGCCTCAGAACAAAAGACACACAGGATGAGAGTAAAGGGATGAAAGAAAAATTTCCATTCAATTGGAAAGGAGAAAAAAAGCTGGGGTAGCAATACTCATATCAGCCAAAATAGACATAAAAAAATAAAGACCATACTGAGAGACAAGAAAGATCATTATATAATACTAAAAGGATCCATCCAACAGAAGGATATAACCCTGATAAACTTATAAGCACCCAATGTAGGAAAACCTAAATTTATAAAAAATCTTCTAGAGGACTTTAAGGGAGAGATTTACAGCAGTACAGTCATACTAGGGGATTTTAACACCCTACTACTTTAGTAGATAGGTCTTCAAGACAGAAAACCAACAAGGAAACAGTTAACCTAAATGACACACTAGATCAGATGGATTTAATCGACATTTACAGAATACTCTACCCCAAAGCTGCAGAATATACATTCTTCTCAAGTGCACGCAGGACGTTCTCAAAGAGAGACCACATGTTGGGACACAAAAAAGTCTCTACAAGTTCAAGAAGATTGAAATCATATCAAGCATCTTCTCGGACCACAATGGCATAAAATTAGAAATCAAACACAATAAAAACACTTAAAAACACTCAAACACATGGAGGCTAAATAGCATGTTTTTAAACAACGAATGGGTTACCAAAGAGATCAAGAAATAAATAAAAAATTTCCTGGAAACAAATAAAAATGAACACACAACAACTCCAGATCTATGGGACACAATAAAAGCAGTCCTGAGAAGGAAGTTCATAGCAGTACCAGCCTACCTCAAAAAACAAGAAAAACTTCTAATAGACTCTCTAACCCTACAACTTAAAACCTTAGAAAGAGAACAAGAAAAGCTCAAAGTAAAAGGAAGGAAATAATAAAGATCAGAACAGAAATAAATGATATAGAGACTAAAAAAAAAAAAATACAAAAGGTCCATGAAACCAAGAACTGGTTCTTTGAAAAAATAAAAAAGATTGATGAACCTTTAGCCAGAATCATCAAGAAACAAGGGAGAGGACCCAAATAAACAAAATCAGAAATGAGAGAGTTGAAATAGCAACTGACCCAACAGAAATACAAAGGATTGTAAGAAAATATTATGAACAACTATACACCACCAAGCTGGACAACTTGGATGAAATGGATAAATTCCTAGAAAAATACAACTTTCCAAAACTCAATCAGGAAGAGTCAGAAAACCTGAATAGGCCGATAACTGCTGATAAAAGCCCTGGCCCTGATGGCTTCACAGGGGAATTTTACCAAACATTCAAATAATTAACACCTATCCTCCTCAAGCTATTTCAAAAAATCCAAGAAGAGGGAACATTCCAAGCTCTTTTTACAAGGCCAGCATTAGCCTAATTCCAAAACCAGATAAAGACACTACAAAGAAAGAGAATTACAGGCCAATATCCTGCTGAACATAGCTGTTAAAATCCTCAACAAAATATTAGCAAATCGGATCTAGCAAAATATTAAAAAGATCATACACCATGACCAAGTGGGAATAATTCCAGAGATGCAAGGCTGATACAATATTCGCAAATCAATAAATGTGATACATCACATAAACAAACTGAAAGAAAAAAATCACATGATCATATCAGTAGATGCAGAAAAAGCATTTGATAAAATCCAACACCCATTTTTGATAAAAACTCTCAGCAAAATGGGAATAGAGGCATCATACCTCAACATAATAAAAGCCATATATGACAAACCTACAGCCAACATCATACTCAATGGGCAAAAACTAAAAGCATTTCCCCTAAGAACAGGAACAAGACAGGGGTGTCCAGTTCCACCACTCTTATTCAACATAGTACTGGAAGTCCAGACAAGAAGAAAGCATGCAAATACCAGCTGAGTTGTTACTTTCTCCTGGATGCCTTCCCTGCCTCAATGTGGAGGCTAGAATTCTTATCTTACTTGACCTATGGCAATGCACTGTTTGTTTATTTGTCCCTTTACCACAATGAACTATGGGCCTATTAAGACAAGGACAGCATATGACTTGTTAATTGTCATATTGCTGGCACATGACAGGCACTCAGTAAATAACCGTTATAAGATATTCATCTGGTTTATCCTTCTGTAGTTCATTTGTGTGAACTACAAAAGTTTGCAAAAGGAGTACATCCAATACAATCAGTAATAACAACAAATACAAAACTAACTACCATTGGTCATTTACAATATGCTAGGCACTATGTTAAGCAGTTTATAAACATTATTTCATTTAATCTTTATATGAGGAAGATGCTATTATTATCCTTCTTTTACAGATGAGGAAACAGGCTTAAAGAGTTTACCTGGGGTTTTTTGTTTGTTTTCAGAATCACCTGTGACTATACAGACTATAATCTATATTTATTAAATGTTTATAGATACAATGAAAGAATAAAGAAACAAGTGTGTATATAACACATTTGTGACTTGAACATTCTAAAATTTCTTTGAGTTGTATAAAGTTTTAAGAATACTTGACTCTATTTACCTTACAGTTCTTTTCCCAAAACGAGGCAGGAAGAAGCTGTACTGACAAATGAGTCTTCACAATTCTAGGAGATGCCATCTGGGTTAATTGTTCTACCCCTGATTTATAAAAAATATTAAAGGTTAGACAACTTCAAAAATTATAAATATTTTTGTAGGTTTTATAGATATTTAAAACATAGAAGTAACTTTAAAATCTTATGCTTTATTAATAATAATACATACACTATGACAATTTTAGATAGAGAAAATAATAGAGAAAAAATAAGATCAAATAAAATTTCATCACTTTGGAAAAATCATTATGAACCTTTAGGTAAGCAGAACTTCTATGTAAATATATCTATATGCCCAGACTCACAGCCATCCAAATACAATATATGCACATAAAACTTATTATTTTCTAATTATCCTTTTTCCTCAATATATTATGCTGATATTGCAATGTCAAGAAACATATGACATCCTAAAATTTGTAATGATTTTCCAGTGTTATTATACTGCTTCAAAATATTCTTTTGTTGACTATCATGATGTTTCTAATTTTTTACAATATTAAAACAATGTGTAATGAATATCCTTTTGCATAGATTCTTAAACAATATATGGATATCTTTCTAGTGTTTAAAGTATTATCACATTTAGCTCAAAGAGAGAGAAACACTCACATATCATGAGGCTCTACTGAAGGCATATAAGAGCTATCATTCACTCTTTTCTAGACACATGCTAAACTTTATCAAGATTTTCTAAAAATTTATCTTTATGGTTGAAAGTATTATAGGTGTCTCATTTTTTGCCCCCAATTGACGTTCTCCACCTCACTCCCACCCCCTCCCCAGGCCTTCACCCCATTATAATCTGTGTTTATGGGTTATGCATATATGCATAAAACTTCTTTGGTTAATCTCTTCCCATCCTCCACCCCTCTTTCCTCTAAAATATGGTCTTCTATTGCATGCGTGAATGTCTCTAGATCTATTTAGTTTGTCAGATTATTTTGTTCATTAGCTTCTTCTTAAAGAAGACCCTTAAATATTTCATATAATACTGATCTGGTGGTGATGAACTCCTTTAGCTTTTCCTTGACTGAGAGGCTCTTTATTTGGCCTTCAGTTCTAAATTATAGCTTTGCTGGGTAGAGCAATCTTGGTTGTAGTTCCATGTTTTTCATCACTTTGAATATTTCTTGCCACTCCCTTCTGGCCTGCAAGGTTTCTGTTGAGAAATCAGCTGACAGTTGTATGGGTGCTCCCTTGTAGATAACTAATTGCTTTTCTCTTGTTGCTTTTAAGATTCTCTCTTTGTCTTTAACCTTTGGCATTTTAATGATGATGTGTCTTGCTGAGGGTCTCTTTGGGTTCTTCTTGTTTGAGACTCTCTGTACTTCCTGGACTTGTAAGTCTATTTGTTGCACCAGGTAGGGGAAGTTTTCTGTCATTATTTTTTCAAATAGGTTTTCAATTTCTTTCTCTCTTTCTTCTCCTTCTGTTACCCCAATAATACGAATGTTGGGCTGCTTGAAGTTGCCCAAAGGCCTTCTTATAAAATGTTCATATTTCTGGATTCTTTTTTCATTTTGCTCTTCTGGTTGGGTGTTTTTTGTTTCCTCATGTTCCAAAATGCTGATTTGATTCTCAGAATTCTCTACTCTACTGTTGATTCACTGTAAATTATTCTTCATTTCAGTTTGTGTAGCCTTCATTTCTGATTGGTACTTTATTATGTCATCGATGGTCTCACTTGTTTCTTAATAGTGTTACTAATATCCTTGAACATCCTTAAACCAAAATTATGAACTCTGTATTTAGTAGTTTGCTTGGTTCAATTTCATTTCCTTCCTTTTCTAGAGATTTCTTTTGTTCTTTTCTTTGTAACATGTTTCTATGTCTCCACATTTTGGCTGCTTCTAGGTGTTTGTTTCTGTGTATTAGGTAGAGCTACTATGTCTCCAGGAGTTTGTTGAGTGGCTTTGTGTAGTAGGTGTCCTGTAGGGTCCAGTGGCTCAGCCTCCCCAGCCCCCTGAGCTGGGCCTTCTAGGTGCTCCCCTGTGTGGGCTGTGTGCACTGTCCTGTTGTAGTTGAGCCTTAGTTGCTGTTGGCATCACTGAGAGGAATCGACCTCCAGATCAATCAGCTGTGAGGACCAGCTGCAACTACAGCTAAAGAGCTTCTGTGCTGGAGACACCCCTATGGAGCAGGACTTACTTCAGTGGAGCTTTGGTGTTCACCAAGTGTGCCCCTTGAGTGTGACACTCATGGATGTGGTAGGGTTGTAACCCAGTGTGGTCAAGTCTGACCACCAGGTGCACTGTCTCTAGGGCCCCTGGGAAGGTGCAAAGTTAGCCTGTGCCAGTGCCTTGCCCAGGGCCACCCAGCATGAGCTACACAGCAAACAGTAGTTGGCTGCTACTTGTGCTGGGCTTGGAGGTGTCCAGGATAGGCCAAGCTATGAGCCAATGCAGGCTGCTGCTAGTGCCAGGCCTGGGGCCACTTATCAAGCCGCATGGGGCCTGCTGCTGCTTGTTTGAGAGATTTTAGGAAAGTTCTGAGCATGAGGTTCGAGAAGCCACTTGCACAGAAAAGCCACTGGAAATGGCCTGGATGAGCTTGCAGGTGGAGAGGGGTGGGGCCTCCAGGAATCATGGGGCGGGGCCAAAGGTGGGAAGTCAGGTGCTGGCGATTCAAATATGGTGCCTGCCTGCTGGCTGTGTGCGGGGAGGACTCCCCAAAGGAGCCATGGCCTCTGCCAGCCCTTCTGCCTGGGAGGAAGCCGCCCCTCCACCTCTCGCCCGGATTTCAAGCAGGTTAGTTCCTCCCCAAGTGTCCCAGGTCCTTTCAGGCTGCTGCCCGGTGCTGGGCTCAGAGGGAGAGCGTCTGAATGAGTTGGTGTGTGGGCCCTTTAAGAGGAGAGCGTGGGGCTCCCGCAGCCTCCATGTCCCTCAGGGAGAGTCCCCGCTTGGGACAGCCTGAAGGTGTGGGACTTTTCTCGGCCCTGGAGCCCTGGGATGGGGGCCTGCTGTGGGGCTGGGACCCCTTGCTTCTCCAGGAAATCTCCACTACCGAGATTCCCTCCCTGGTTTAACCCGCGGCACCAGGTGTGGGCCCATGGCCGCGTCTCCGGGATCCAGCCCTGATTCACCCGCGTCTCCACTCCTGCTACCGGTCTTGGTGCTTCTTCAGCTCCCTGGTTGTGGGGCTTCTGTTCAGCCAGATTTCAGGAGGCTCTGAGTGATGGTTCTGTATGTGAGTTGTAATTTTGATGTGGTTGCAGGAGGTGGTGGGTGCAGAGGTTACTTACGCCTCCATCTTATTTTCCCCTACTTTATCAAGATTTTAATTTAAATTTACATGCTTTGCCATGTAGAAGACATAATATTAATTGCCAGTTTTGCTTACAGTCTCTTTCCTTATGCTGTCTCTATCCACACTTTAAAATATATATATTATAGCTTTTAAAATCAACTTAAACATTACCATTCATCATGTCATCTTTTCTGCATTCCAGGAAAGGTATTCGATTAAAAATGGCATCTTTTTTGCACTTTTCCACATCACCCTCTTTAAAGATCATGTCCACAATTTCACTCAACCAGGTTGTACCTGTAAAAAAATAAACAAACCTCAGTCTCCCACTGACCATGCTGGGGTGGTGATGGAAGTGATGAATTTATAGCTGGATAAAGTAGGGTAGTGCTAATGCAGTATTATTTTAAAGGTGCCAGAATAGCCACAGGGCCCAAAAATAACCTCAATAAATAAGGATGAATATTTTAGTAAAACATACCTGCGGTAGGAGTCCCAAATTGTCCATGATGAATTGTGACATTGTTCAAGCTGATAACAGTTTGGATCTAAACTTTTACATTTAAAAACTAAGGAGGCTTGAAATATAGATGGATACACTGAAGCGTGTTTTGAAACACAAATTTTACTGATAGTTTTTTATGCCTCAAGTTGTCTTAGTTCAGAGGATGTAGGAAAAAATAAATCTGGCCCTTGCCCTGTGGTGATTAAAGGCCATTTTAAGAATTAGAAACAATGTTCAGTAATTACAACAGTTATTTTTTCTTACTGTGTTATAACACCAGTTAGTACAAGGATTTAAAGGACTGCAAAAGGGGAACATTTAATTCAGTATGAAGCCACTGCTGTGATGTTTTAACAAGAAATGTCTTAAAGGGAACATAGTAAGTGAGCTTAGCCTTAACAAATTATTGGCATAAATTTACCAGTTTTGTGAGGTAGGGAAGAGTTTTACCAGTCAGAAGAACTGTCCTTTTTTTTTTTTTTTTTCAAATCAAGGGCCAGATACTTAAGAATACTATAGGGGTAAGGAAAAGAATTGGAAATAGATTGTAAAGTCTAGATCAAAGAGTCTACCTGAAGAGATGGGTGGGAATGAGGCTATGGAGGCAAGCAGACAGCAAGCGTAAAATACCTTGTAGTTCATACTAAAGAGTTCACATTGTTTTCTTAAAGTTTGGAGAGACATAGGCATACATTAAGTAAAAGAGTGAGACTATTGTGGTTGTGTTTTAGAAGTCATCTAGTGGGAGAGTGAGGGGTCAATAAGAAGAGTGATAAGAGAACCTGTAAGGCTGTGAGTCACAATGATAAGAGGAAACAGGACTGAATATGGAGGATGAAGATGTGGAAGTGAGTTTTCAATAGCTCTCAGGTGTCCCCTTCAGATGACTGGTATTGTGCTGACACCGACCCTGATACTGATCGTATTGTGCTGATGGGAAGAGATGTGAAGGAGCAACTTCAGAGTCAGAGGAGCCAAAGACATATTTAGTGCTAAATGGAAAACAAGATAGAGAAGTCTGGATTGGACCATCCTAATTTCTGAAGGTCTGTTATTATAAGCATCCAAAACTGTAATGAACTATTGAGCTAACCTCAGAAGAAGAAAAAGTTACTTAAAAATGAAGTTTTGGGGATGGACTTATAGAGGAGCAGGTTAGCTGAAAAAGAGGGTTTTGTTTTTTTGTTTTTTTAATCTGTGAAAATTGGTTATACATTGTCTATACAACAATGATAATAATGACACAAGGTAAACACAGTTCATAGTCTTAAATTTTAGTTATAGTTCTATACTTATCTATCTATATTATATAATTTTCTAAAGTAGCCAACAATAGCCTAGCTGATTCAGTGGTTGAGCATCAACCTACGATTCAGGAAATCAAGGTTCAATTCCTGGTCAGGGCACATGCCCGGGTTGCTGGCTTGACCTCCAGTGGGGCCATGCGGGAGGCAGCCGATCAATGACTCATCATTAATGTTTCCAACTTTCTCTCTCCCTCTCCTGTCCCTAAAATCAATAAAGATATATTTTTAAAATAAAATAAATATAAAATAGCCAACAATACCCATTTTTCTTTCTTTTTCCCCCCACTATCAACCAACTTGATATTATTGATATTTCTAGAACATTCCATCCAACAGTAGAACATTGTCATGTGTACATTCACCAGCTAGATTGTATTCTGAGGCATTAAACATGGTTCAATAAATTTAAAAGGATTGAAAACATACAAAATATCTATATATTTTTTTGTTAATCCTCACCAAGTATATTTTTTCCATTGCTTTTTAGAGGGTGGAAGGGTGTGATGAGGGGGAGAGAGAGGGAGAGAGAAATATCAATGTGAGAGAGACACATCAATTGGTTGTCTCCTGCACACATCTGACCAGGGCCGGGGATCAAACCTGCAACACAGGCATGTATCCTTGACTGTGAATAGAACCCATGACCCCTAGGTGGCTGGGCCAAGACTCTAACCACCAAACCACATTGGCTAGGGCCAGAATATATTCTTTGACCATAATGGAAATAAATTAAAAATCAATAAAAAATATATCTGAAAATTAGACAACACACTACTAAACCATACAAAGTTTGAGAAAAAAATCACAAAGCAATTAAATGCATGGTTTTCTACTGGCACAAATGATTATGCATTTACAGTTTTATACACCATATTTTACAAACAAACACACATGTACATGTATTTGAAGTTGAAAGTTTCATTTGTTTGAGTTTATCTGAAATGAATGGAATTAGAATAGCTGAATGTAATTGATTGATTTTGATAGGGCAAACAGGATAATCATGCTGTGGCTCCATATAATGGGAAATGCTCCTCCTAAGGAACATAATTCCCAAGGGGAACACAGTATCACAAAAATATAAATGCAATGCATTTCATGTTATTCTAAAATTTTTATAAACATGGTATCCTTAAAAATGGGTAATTTATTTATAGACTGAAGTTCACTGAACTCTCGGTTGTGAGCTTTCTTAGGGGGTGAGGAAAAACATTTCAGCAGTAGCTCAATCAGTTCAGTGTGTGAAGGGGAAGCCTAAGGAAAACATTGAAACGTCTCAGCTTTGTGAAAGAGACAACCAGATGTCAGCCTGAAGAGTAGCTTTTTTCTGCTTCCATGCTGTGCAGACAATGTCATAAAAGGGATAATAAACATATGGAATAAATTATTGAAAAAGGCAATTGAGGAGAGCACAGATGAGTTCAAGAGACAGCTAGACTTGTTTCTGGAGAAGGAGAATTGATGACTATTATGGGAAAGCAGGGGGTTTGTATTAGCCTGCATGGGTATTTTTTCTTTTGCATACTTTTTACTATTTTAATTTACATTTTATGTATTTTGAAATCTCTATTTTAAGGAATATATTCCCCAAATCATACTGCTTTTCACAAACAATTTTTTTTTTCAACTTAATCTTCCATAAGGTCACATAAGCTTAGACTTGGGGCACCAAGAACTATTTCCTATAGTTTATTTAGCACACTTTGCTGATACTGACTGCAGTTTTTATTCACTAATGTAACCTTTCTCTTACCTGTAATCACTGAGAGTTCAGCTTTACCTGTTTGTTCCTCCTCAACTTCTATCTTTCCAATCATGATCATGGCTAAATCTCATAGTGTTTAACCAATTGTGTTGAATATTTATGATTATTCCTAACTCCCTTCAAGTCCTATCTTGAAGTATTTTCAAATCACCTGGGGCAATTCTGTAATGTAAACAATATACTCTCATCACACTTTAAAATGGAAGTTATGGGTTGTCTCCTATTCCTCATATTTTTTAAAATACTTTTTTATTTTTCAATTACAATTGGCATACAATATTATATTAGTTTCAGGTATATAAACACATGATTAGACATTTATATAACTCAAAAAGTGATCACCCTGATAAATCTAGTACCCATCTGACACCATATATAGTTATTAAAATATTGTTGACTCTATTCCCTATGTTGTATTATACATCCCCAAGACTATTCTGTAACTGCCAATTTGTACTTCCTAATTCCTTCACATTTTTCACCCACTTGCCAAGCCCCCACCCATCTGGCAACTATCAAAATATTCTTTTTATCTGACTCTGTTTCTGTTCTGCTTACTCCTTTATTTTGTTTCTTAGATTCCACATTCAAATGAAATCATCTGGTATTTGTCTTTCTCTGTCTGACTTATTTCTCTCAGCACAGTACCATCTAGATTCATCCATGATGTTGCAGATGTCAATATTTTATTATTTTTTATGACTGAGTATTCCCTTGTATATATACACCACTTCTTTATTCATTCATCTATTGATGGACACTTAGATTGTTTCCATATCTTGGTTATTGTAAATAATGCTGCAATTAATATATGGATGCATATGTCTTTTTGATTTAGTGTTTTGGGTTTCTTAGATAAATACCAAGAAGTGGAATTGCTGGGTCCTTCTTTGTCTTTTGTTATAGCCTCTGTTTTAAAGTATATTTTGTCTGGGTACAAGTATTGCCACCCCAGCCTTTTGTTTTGTTTCCATTTTCATTAACTATCTTTTTCCATCCCTTTACTTTCAGTTGGTTGAAAGGACTGGCCATGACCACCATGAAGGATCTGCTGTGCAAGGGCCAACTCCACAGAGCGGAACTCACTTCAGCAGACCTCAGGTACCCACTGAGTCAGGTAGTGCTTCAGCTTGGTTTGAAGCTGTCCACCATGTTCACCAGGTATGCTGACTCTAAGGCCTCCTGGGAGCTTCTGGCCAAAGTCAGCCACCACCTGTGCTTTGCCTGAAGCCACCTGGCATGAGCTACAAAGTGATATGCAGATGGCTGCTACTTGTGCTGGGCTTGGAGGTGCCCAAAAAGGCCAACCTGCAAACCAAGGCCAGCTGCTGTTAGTGCCAGTCCTGGGACCACTTGGCAAGAGGTGCACCAGATGCTGGTTGTTTGAGAGATTTAAGAAAGTCCGCAGCATGAGCCAAGATGTTGTTTGCATGGGAAAGCCATTAGAAATAGCTTGGATGGGCCCACAAGTTGGGTGGGGAAGAGTCTCAGGGAATTACCAGAATGGGGTGAATAGTGTTAGCCAGGTGGATGTCTACCTGTTCTGTGGAGGGTGGGCTCATCAAAGGAACAATGGTGTCTGCCAGCACTTTTGCCCGGAAAAAAGCTGCCCCTGTAGCCTTTGCACTGGTGCCAGACAATTTAGTTCTTCCTGGTATGTCCAAGGCACCTTTTGAGCTGTCGCCCCAGTGCTGGAGCTCAGAGAGAGTGACTCCAGGTAAGTCAGCGCATGGGCCCTTTAAGAGGAACACCTGGGACTCTACCAGCCTTCTGTCTCACTCAGCTACAATGTCCACTGATTTTTACAGCTAAAAGTTATGAAGACTTCTCTTCCTAGTACTGGTTCCCTGGACTTAGGGGCCTGGTGTGGGACTGGGACCTCTTGCTTTTCAGGGGGGACCTCTGCAACCAACATATCCTCCTGTTGCCTAACCACCACACCTGTGAGACCAGCCCATTCTGTGTCTCCACCCTTCCTACCAGTCTCAATGTGGCTATTTCTTTATATCCTTGGCTGTACAACTTCTGTTCAGCTATATTTCAGGTGGTTCTGAACGATGGTTGTTTTATAGGTTAGTTGTAATTTTGATGTGATTGTGGGAAGTTCCAAGTACTACTTTTGTCTACACCATCATCTTGACTAGAAGCCAACAATACCCATTTTTCAATGTTACTACTCAAGTTATAGGTATAGATTATGGCCTTAGAATAGAGCTATTATATGACTCTTTTTCTATGTCTACCAAAACTACTATATCTGTTCTTATTTAATATGGGGAATGAGTATGGAGGAGGAGAACAGCTTAATATTTACCATTCAAGGTGAATCTGTCATTACTAGGAGAAAATGGAAAAACAGACATAGTAGGGAGACTTACCAGATTTGGGATAGGTGACAATAACTATGTCATCTGATCTTGCCTGAAATGTCTCCACATCATCCCAATATTTGATAAAATCTTTATACATTAGAATTCCATGGACCCGGCCAAAGAATTCAGAATCATCACCTTTGGAGGAATCCATCATACAGTGGTACACTAAAAGAAAAAAAAAGGTATGTTTCCACTTTGTAAGTACTTTATAATGTTTTAGCATTAATAGTAGCTCTGTATATTGAGATTTTCTTGTTTAGCATTTCTTAGCTGTTGAGCATAATGGGGTAAATCTGTATTTAAGAATTATATAACATTACCTCAGTGCTTTAAGAGTTTCTAATCCGTTTAAGCAGATAAGTCTAACAAATAAAAGAATAATAAAATGCAAGGCATTATAAAGTTTTAAAAACTATATAAAAATATGTTATACATTGATATTATCATTTATACATAATATTTATATATAATAAATTCCATAATGAATGAAAACAATAGAGCCTTTAATTCTCTGTCAAAATTGCTGGGCATATAAAAAGATAAGAGGTTCAGAAATATAATAATATTTTGGCAAAGAATCATTCTGATTAATTATGTCTACATTAAATAACAATAAAGCTGATGTTCACACTTGATAGCTATTGCCAGATCTCAAAGTGAGTTTCCTTGGTTCTTGAATATTTTACACTTAATGAAAAAATTCAAATGCTTATTGGAGCATTTAAAAGAAGATGAAATTAATAACATTGTAATCAATATCCAAGGACCAATTCTTGAGGATATAGAAGGTTCCTCTGTGACTACTGACATTATCTTTACTTTTCTGTCTCACTTAATCATTAGTATAGTAGTGGACACTCCCATTGAGTGACTTGGTTGAAAATTATAAGGTTAAACCAAATGGTTATCAGTTGATAATTCATCTTCCAGTTCCATGAAAATCCATATCATGTTCAGGGTTAGTCATGGAGTTTTTAATTAAGCAAATTTTCTTTCATTGACTTCTAACTTCTTTCACCACTATCTCCCTCCCAAATTACCCCATTTTGAGTTTTTGATATAGCATCTCAACTAATTTTGTTCTTCTTTCTAGACCTTTCTTTTGTTCACCCTTGCCCAGAAAGCTGCCTGGTAGGTTGTTATACACTTATAGATTTGTGACTTCTGTAGCTTTTATTGTGTTTTTCAGAGAGTTTGTATAATAATAGGAGGCCTTTGAAGGCAGTATTTCTTTTAGCCACCTAATGTGTTTCCTTTAATAGAGAATCCCAATCCATGAGAGACATTGTAAAGAGGAAATGAAATTAGTAGATACTGAAACAAATGGATTATCCCTAAGGAAGAAATATCTGTGGTGAAATTTTAGAAACATAAGTATACTACAAATGAAGTTAAATAACTAAACCACTGACTTATGCTGAAGGCTTCTTCTGGTAGTGTTTTCCCCACTACATTTCTAGGCTGCACATTACAGATGTAAACCTTTAGATGCTGCCTCTTAACTCTTACTCAGCAGCACCTATGCTAAATCCCATGATTCTATCTCTGTTATTTTCCTTTCTTTTCTATTGTTAAGGTCACTGCTGTATTTAGAAACCTCTCCAACTCTTGATTGAATATATAAAAATAGCATTTCCCATTGGCCTTCCTGTAAAAAGTTCATATATCCCCTTTCTATAATCACCAGAGAAAGGAAAATGAATGTTATTTACTTATGTTGTGCCAGACTTAAAAGGTATTATTTTAAAATCTTATTTGTAAGCCATAAGGGTCTTTGAAAAAGCAGACATCATTATCGATTAGGTTAAGTTTGTCCTGCAGGAGACTTCTTAAGGATGGAACCATATTTGTCTTACACAAGGAAGGATAAATATGCACACATCTATGCATAGATGTAAATAGTGCATGTAACTATATTTTTTTGACACAATTGTTGAAAAAAATTAAACAATATAGAGAAAATGAAACTGCCCTCTTTATTCTATTCTTTAAGAGATAACACTCCTCATAGTATTGTATTTATGCTTCCAAATATTTCAATATATGTTAAAATCTACACTTATGTATATATTTTGCATTATATTTTATATTTATTTGTAAACTATTTTTTTTCACTGAACTATATAATGTGAACATATTTTGGTGTTGATATGTAAATTCTGTTTTTATTCTTATAATTGACACATAGTCGTCCATAGTATGGATGTAACATAGATGATACAATTCTTTCTTGATAGAAATTCTTATTTTTCCCTTTTTTTTTTTTAAATAAGTAGTACTTTAATGAATGTCTTTGAGCATATGTATTTCCACACTTATCTTTGCAGTGATAAAGGAATTGTCAGAATAAAAGTTATGCACATGTAAGGTATTGATAAATATTTTTAAACAAATCACTTAGATATTGTACAAATTTGGACAGTATATGAAATTGCCTATTTTCTCACATCATCCCCAGTACTAGAAATTATTTGTTGTAATTTTTTTTCATAAGAAAATATATATTTTTTAATCTGTATTTCATAGATATTTTGTAATTTTTCATATTTTCACATTTTGTAAGTTTATTGGTTATTTTAATCATTTTGATCCATTTTTCCCACAAGAATTATTGCTTTTTCCTGAGTTATATTTAGTAATTTATTATATATATCTTGTATATATTATTATATATAATAATATATATTGTTATAACATATAATAATATATATTATATATAATAACATATATTATATATGATAATATATAATATATATATCAAAGAAATCTGTTGTTTTTCCACTTTTTAAATATTGTCATCTAGGATATTATTGTTCATAGAATCAAGTGTGTTAAATTTTTGCCTATGATTGATATGGCTATCTAAATATTTAAATATGCTCATATAATGCAAAACACATGTATTAAAAGTTTATACATTTATATTAATTTAGATGATTAATGTGTACATATCAGAGAAAATAATTTTTAAGAATATAGATTCCGCCCAGCCAGTGTGGCTCAGTGGTTGAGTGTCAACCCATGCACCAAAAGGTTGCTGGTTTGATTCCTGGTCCCTGCACATGCCCCTGTTGAGGACCTGATCCCCTGTAGAGAGTGTGCAGGAGGCAGGTGATCAATGTTTCTCTCATCGATGTTTCTATCTCTCCCTCTCCTTTCCTCTCTCTAAAAATCAATTAAAAAAATATTTTTAAAAAATATGGGTTCTAAAGTTGACCACCTTGGTTTAAATCCTAGCTCTGTTAATTGAAATTGTATCACTCTGGCAAATTAACTTGACTGTGCTCCATTTTCTCATCTACAAGTTGAGAATGATAATAATTATACTTACCTGAAACAGTTATTGAGAATTAAATGAGGGGACAAGCCTGGCCAATTTTAAATGCTTTATAAGTATGAGCTTTTATTGTTATGCCACATCTATATGATAGTGTAGAAGAACCAGACACTTGGACTCTCTCAGTAACAGTACATGGTAATATATCTGTTCAAAGCAGGGGAAATATTTGTTGTCAAAAAATTCCCAAGAATGTAAACATAAAATTGCCTGAAGAAACTCATAGTCAGTGATCTGTGTTCTACTGGAAGGGTAAAACTTATAAAAGTCCAACATGAATTTTGCCTCTGTTTATTTGTCTAAAGTTCTCTGGGACAAACCAGTATGACATTCATTTCATTTGGGCCCCAGATTGCACAACAGAAGACAGATACAATATAAGAGTTTTTCTTCTGTTTGTTTTTAGCCAAAGAATAGCTTAACATTTGTTTTGGAAGCCACAGGACAATATTAATCATGGTTGTTCTTACCAAAAAGGGGGAAAAAATCAGTTCTTAAGGGCAAACTCAACTCTTTCAAAACCTCCCTCTCAGGTATATCAGAGGTAATCTCACCAAAATTATGATATTTTGATTAAAATCAGTCTTATTAATAAATCAGCTGGCTCACCAAACCTTCCTTGCTCTCAGAAAATAGATCTCTCACTAGGGAAATGTATATAAAAGGAATCACTTGCCCTCCCTACTAATTTGTTTATTCATGTGAACAACTTCCTTGTTGTTCTTCCAACTTTGAAAGAATTGGTTTATAGTCTATTGGGAGTAGCTGACTTATCATTAAAGAGTTATTTGACTTTTGGCTGCCCCTTTATGATCAATTTTGGACTCAGAATTAAACTAGGTGACACATAATAAAATCTCTTTCTTTGTTTAACTTTTTATCTTATATCACAATGTATGGACATACTCTCTAGCTGCTCTGTTTGCTCTGTTCATATTCAAAGGCGTACTTTAGTTAACTGAGTATGTAGGTTAATGTTGTCTAGAAACACCACTAAATTTTTTTTTTTTAATCTGATTCATAGATTCAATTGAATTCAGAAAGACTTTCCTTTGTCTCTGTATTTCTTCTTTCCTGCCTGTTTCCTTCTTCTTTTTGCCCTCCCTTTCTCCATACTCCAATCTGCCTTTCACTCAGCAAGCACTTTCCGTGTGAGTGCCTGCTGCACCCCCAGGCACAGTGTCCCGGGCTGGGGTGCACCGTGAGTACATGCACAGGCTCGCTTAGTCCTCACAGCCTTGGACTTACCTAGATTTAGGGAAAGCGGCTGAAAGCAGAGAATGTCTTTTTGTACATCATTTTAGCCCAAGCCTCAGCACTATGTCACAAAGTAGATGGTCAAAACCATTCATTAAATTCAATTGTTACTTCAAGTTTCTCAGGGTTCTGCCTTGCTTTCTTTATCAGTAAAATAGAGAATGTGTCTAGTGAACAGGACTTACAAGGTAACTATGATACTGCAGCTTTATGTTAAAGCTCTTTAAACAGAAAAGCACTACATAAATCCAAGATGTTATTTCTAATGACAAACAAGTGATTTAAAAATCCTTTAAATGCTTTACATTATTAAGTGACCAAAGGATCGATAAATACTTTATTCTTCCTATATTTCTTTTTTTTACAGCTTTGTGATATACAGTTTGCATCTATATTTTCTATATGTAAATCTCTATATTAATATTGGTAATAATAATAAAATACAACCTGTCCAGATGATCCTGTGAAGGAAACTGGGTGATTCAGTGAAGTTTTCCTCAAATTCCCACTCAGGTTTTAAGCTGCAAAAAAAGATGAGTTGTGCATCTGAGATATTTCTGAGAAGCTTTTATTCTTAATGCCAGAGAAGGAGGCGGAGATAAATTTGTGGGCTTGGCTTTGTAGAGTCTGTGATGCAATGGAGTAGCACTAATATAGATACATACCTGCAAATGCATTCAGCCACACATAGCCATGCTCATCATGCAGAGACGTAGAAAACCTCTGCTGTTATTTTTCATTCTTGGCTCATAGTCAAATTCCTAGATTTGCCAGTAGCAATCAGTGGGTGGGAGAGGGGGAGGGCGAGGAAGTGAAGGGGAAGATGGGGGAGAAGACTGGAGCAAAGTATACAGCAGTTTGGGAAGAAAAACCCTCTTACTCACTCCTGGTGAATAATAAAATGGTTAAGGTTGACCTTCAAAGAATAAACTTCCTGGAGGAGTGAGAGGAGAGAAGAAAATGACAGGGAAGAAACAAGAAGGAAGTGAGGACCTTGGATCAGGAGACCAAGCTTAGTTTACTAAGTAAAACCTGTCAAGGAAGGTGTTGTAATGCTTGGTTGTGTCCTAACAAATCAACTGGAAAGTATCTTCTATTTAAAATCTTTGCTTTTAGCTCTTAAATCAAAAATTAGCCCTAAAAATAAAAAATAGATGACAGCTAAGGAAAGAATTTAACATCACTCACCTTTAGATTATTATTTTTTAAATCTCACTTCTCTCCACTCTAAATTACATGCTTAATGCAAGGCTTAGTATGGAATCTCCAGGTAAAGTTATCTATTAATGCCATTGGAATTTAGAAAAGAGGATGAGAAAAATAAATGCCAAGGGTTTATGGACTCTATGAAGCCTACACCTTTCTTACCACATCTCTGTACCTACTCTGTCTTTAGTTGAGAAAATTTTTCCTTGCTACCATACCTCCACCTCCATCAATACATCCAACTTAGCTCCAAACCTGATTAGTTTTCATTTGTCTCTCAATTTTGATTAGATTGCACTGCCTTTTGAAAGGCCTTTGGTGATTCTTGTAAGACTGAATATCCCTTCAAGCAAGGTTCAGAGTCCTTGCTATTACTTACTCCACTGTGCTGAAGTTAAAATTTTCTTATCTAGCTTCTTTATCAGGAAATTTATTAGACTGTATATAGCTTAACAACAGGTCCTACTCTGTAATCAGCACACTGCATGGCATCTAGAGTCTAGGGATTGAATATATACCAACTAAATAAAAGTGGCTGGAGTGTTCAGGAAAAATAAAAAATTAAGAGAACCATAGTTGTTAGTTACTGAAGGCATTACCTACCCCTTGGGTAGGCATCCTGCCCTACCCAAAGTAAAAAAGAACAGCTCTGCGGTTTCTGAGAAATTAGGAACATCATGATAACCCAGGGTGGAGCATGAGAACCCAGGGGCTCATTTTAATATTATTTGGTTTTATGAAGTTGGTCGTTTTAATGTTTACATTTATTTGTTAAAGAAAATGTATTTAAAAACATTTAATCTTCAAATATAAAAATTTAATATGGACTATAATTTTTAACCCTGCTGCATTGCTTAATTTATTATTTTTTAAATATGTCTTTATTGATTTCAGAGAGAGGAAGGGAAAGGTGAAGAGGGAGAGAGAAACATCAGTGATGAGTCATTGATCAGTTGCCTCGTGCACTCCCCCAACTGGAGATTGAGCATGTGCCCTGACTGGGATTCGAACCGATTGCCTGGATCCTAGGTGGACGCTCAAAGGCTGAGCCACACCCGGCAGGGCTAATTTATTTTTTTTAATTATTAGTTTTTAATTATGAGGATCTGCAAGGCTTCCTTTCTTGTTTACCAAAAATATTCTTCCATCCAAAATGTCAGGATATGGGTACAAGCTAATCTGAACAGATTTAACCTTCTGACCACTTCTCTTATCTTTCAGTTATAAGCAACTGGCTGCAGGAATGTTACAAATGCTTTAAAGCATGTGATGCTGGTGACCCCAAAGGCCAAAACACCTTTAGCCTTAGAAAAACTTCCAAATGATGAAGATTCTCTTGCTAATATAAATAAAACAATAGGCACAATAGCCAGCTTAACCTTCATTCTTGTCAATGAGCAGCAAGTACAAAAGAAATGACAAAATATTCGAGTCCTTGGTCTGACTTTTCCTCCTCTGTACACTTGACTCAGGAAAAAAAAAAACCCAGATAACCATCTACTTTTTCAAATGTTTATCTAAATTCTTAGAATTAGAGCAGATTTGCTATCATATCTACCATACTGCCACTGTCCTGTTCTAAAACATCGTAAATAAATGTGGAATTTGCATGTCTGTGGGATAAAATGGTTCCAAGACAATGTTTCTTATTAGTGACCATTGAGCATTCTCTTTTCCTTCTGTGTCACATACTTACTCCTTTGGGGTCAAGTTTGAGGATCCCAGACTTTGTTTTGTAAATGACAAGATTTCAATATTAATAATAAAAAAAATAAGTGGCAGTGTGACTGAGCACTTTTTAAATTATTGTAAAAAGACTTATTTAAAAAAATTTTTTTTAAACATATCTTTATTGATTTCAGAGAGAGGAAAGGCGAGGGAGAGGGAGAGAGAAACATCAATGATGAGAGAGTCATTGATCGGCTGCCTCCTGCACGCTCCTGACTGGGGATCGAGCCCGCAGCCCAGGCATGTGCCCTGACTAGGAACTGAACCCTGATCTCCCAGATCCCAGTTCGATGTTCAACTGCTAAGTCATGCCCAGCCAGGCAACACTTTTATTTAAGAACAGTTTTGGGTTTACAACAATTTGAGTAGGTAGTACAAAAAGGTTTCCTCCCCTGTACAGTTTCCCCCATTTATTAACATCTTTCATTAGTTTGGTACATTTGCTAGAAATGAAAAACCAATATTGATATATTAGTATTAAATAAAGTCTGTAGTTTACATCAGGGTTCACTTTTTGAATTGTATAGTTCTGTGATTATTGACAAATGCCTAATGTTATGCATCCACTATTACAGTATCATATAGAATAGTTTCACCCATCTGAAAAATCTTTTGTGTTCCACTTAAGCATCCTACTTGTTATTGATGTAAGAAATATTCAAACCTGTACATAACTTATATACAGGTTTATTTAAGCCAAACTGACATTTGTTGGGGAGCAAGATCTCAAATTCTCTGGAGAAAAACAGTTTTGCAGCTTCTATTATGCATTTTAAAGTCAAGGAGGGACCTAAGAAAGATTGCATGGTGGTGGAAGAAAGCATGGCAGAGATTGGATTATAGTAATCAAGATTATGTGCTCTCTTTTTTTATTTTCCCTAACACCATTTATTCCCTCCATCCTATTTCAAAGGTGTGTTAACCTTGATGCACAGAAAGAATGGACAGGATTTGCTGAAGGCAAAGGTAAGCCTTTTAGTCAACAAATCAACAAATGACATGTGCTGGTGAGAGTGTGGAGAAAGGGGAACCCTAGTGCACTGCTGGTGGGAATGCAGACTGGTGCAGCCACTATGGAAAACAGTATGAAGGTTTCCCCAAAAAATTAAAAATGGAGCTGCCTTTTGACCCAGTGATCCCACTTCTAGGAGTATATTCTAAGAATCCTGAAACACTAATCAGAAAGAATATATGCACCCCTATGTTCATAGCAGCGCAGTTTACAATAGCTAAGATCTGGAAACAGCCCAAGTGCCCATCAGTAGATGAGTGGATAAAAAAGCTGTGGGACATTTACACCATGGAATACTATGCAGCTGTAAAGAAGAAGGATCTCGTACCCTTTGGGACAGCATGGATGGACCTGGAGAGTATTATGCTAAGTGAAATAAGCCAGGCAGAGAAAGACAAACATCACATGATCTCACTTATATGTGGAATCTAAAGAACTTAATAAATTGATGGACAGAATNATCTCATACCCTTTGAGACATGATCTCACTTATATGTGGAATCTAAAGAACTTAATAAATTGATGGATAGAAAAGACTCAATGACATGGAAGCATGGATCAGACTGGCAAATCTCAGACAGATGGAAGGGGGTGGGTAGGTGGAGGGGAAGAGATTAACCAAAGAATTTATATGCATATATATGCATAACCCAAGGACACAGACAATGTTGTGGTGAGGGACTAGGGAGGGGAGTGGGATGGGGTAGAATGGGTCAGTGGGGAGAAAAAGAGACATCTGTAATATTTTGAACAATTAAAAAAAAAAAGAAATTATATGACTGAGATGTGACTACCAGCCATGACCTGCCCAGTTAGAAATTTATGATCAGATCACCTGGTGAGGTGACTTTCCATAGAGCTCCATTTTTTTCACCCACTCTCCTCCCTTGAACTCCTGGCAACCGTGGATCTTTTTATTGTCTCTATAGTTTTGCCTTCTCTAGACTGTCATATCGTTGCAGCCAAACAATATGTAACCTTTCAGATTGGCTTCTTTTACTTAGCAGTGTGCATTTAAGGTTTTTCTGTGATCATCAGGAGTGGGGTTCTTGGGATGCTGTGAGGAAATGAATTATCTGAGGCCCCTGTGGGAGGATGGCTTTTGTAGAAAGCTTTATTGATGATGCAAAATTAAGGGGTTCCCCTCTAAGGTGCCATCTCTGTCTGTCCCACCATGGAAGAAGCCCAATCTTGTCTTCAACGGGGCCAGAATAAAGGCCACTGCCCATAGTTTCTGCTCCATATTAAAGTCCAGTCCAGCATCCTGTGAGGCGAGGGTGGGTTCCAGAGCAAGCGAGAACAAGAGAGAGGCAACCTTTTGTCTGGGAATTTTAAGCAGGAGCTTCTTCAAAGTAATCAACTTTCCAAGATTTCGTAGACTTCTGATGGGGTCTATCCCCTAGCCAATCCATTGTTCCTCAAGCTAGACTGACAAGCAAGCACCTCCCCTGTGCCACCCCGACTTCTACTGCACATGTGCCTATCTCTCCCTTCTCCCCTCAACAATCCAGTATTGGATAAGGGAAGGGAAGAGTGTTAATCCCTTCGGAGGAACAATGCTGTGTGAAGCTGTAGCTTCCCAGGTGACCATGCTTATAATGTCTAACTTTCCTTTGCATTCTTTCCTTTCTTAATATTAACTA